TTCCGGGACTAGGGTCCATTCGGGCCGAGAATGATGGAGCCACCCTGCGACCAGGAAGGACAGCGATGCGGACGGTAGAAGCCGGGGCAACCCGGCAGGGCTGCGCGACATCCCACGCCCGGTCCGCGCGCCCACACGCCCGGCCCGCCGCGGCCGCTACCTGCAGCCCTTGGCCAGACTCTCCCGCAGCGTCTTGCGCTCCTGCAGGCGCCGCTCGTACTGCTGCTGGAAGGCGAGCTCGCTGTAGACCGGCCGCGACACCACGTAGCTGCAGCTGTACTCGGGGAGCGGTGGCGGCTCCAATCTGCTGCCGGGCGCTTCCATGACCTGCGAAGCGGAGGGCGAAGAGGAGGGACGAGATGGAGCGGGGCAGGAGGGAGAGGAGGCGAAGAGGAAGGGGCTGGAAAAGGCGACCGCCCGTTAGCTGTCACCCGGCCCCACCTGTTGCAGCCGATCCCGGAGCGCCCGGTCCGCGCTCTGCCGTCCTGGGCGCTACGGGCCGCCACCCCCGGGCGCTCACCACCCGCCTGCAGGGGGGCACGTGAGGACCTTCGGGTCCCGTCGCTTGCACCTGCCGCCCGGGGCTCGCAGACTCTGAAGGAAGTGAGGCCGGCCTTGGGGTCTTCCGGAGCCCGACCCAGTCCCCACCCGCGGGCAGCCAGGGCGCTGTCCGCGTCCTGAAATCTCCCCAAACCCGGGCTGGATCCGAAGCGTGTGCGGGGCTGGAAGGGGACTCTGTGAGCGCTCCTCTCTGGTCGCACCCGACCCAGGGCACGTCCCCAGGCGCGCACCTGGAGAGAAGCACTGGCCCCCGGGCCGGGCGTGGAAACCCTAGGCCACGTTTCCCGGGTCCTGAGGCTGCGTGCACTGCAGGCAAATTCCAGCAGCGGGTCGCCGTTCTCCCGGGGGCAGAACTTTAGGGAGGTGGGGCAGACCTCTTGCCTGTTTTCCTAGCTCCCTTCTCGCTCTCAGCTTCTCAGAAAGAAGGCTGTACTGCCCCCTGCCCGCCTGCTCCGTGCCCCCACGCTAGTCCCTTCCGCAGCTAGCGCTGCCTCCCGGGAGTGGAGCCAGAGCCGAGTCAGGCCAGCTCACCTGTTTCGGCTGGTGCCCCGCCCGCAATGCCCCCGGGACGGCCGCTCGGGTGCCTTTATAGCGCTCACAGAAGGCAGGGAGACGTTTTTTATTTATGGAGCAACAGAGACACCTTAGTCGAAAAGAGGAACACAAAGGCAGCGGTCTTTCCCCACCTATCTATCCTACCGGGAAAGAAATGCTACTCCTCCTGCCCTGTTCTTTCCCTTTCCCGAAGTGGGAGGCCAAGAATCGTACTGGTTGTCACCAGGATCCTCACTCACCTCCCAATTACTAACGCGGGCTGCGAGGTCAGGGGTGGGGGGGTAGGGAAACTTGTTACAGGAGAGCAGAGCCCTGGGTGGAAAACAGGACTGCTGGGAGCCTTGACCTTGGCTCCTACCTTGTGTGAATCAAGAAGCACCACAGTCTGGCACACAGCTCTCCTACTGCCCTGGGGTGGAGAGGAGGAAAAGAGCAGTGGCCAGTTTTGTATTTAATAAATGCTCTGTATTTCTAGAAAGTGTTTCTTCAGAAGTAGTGAGTGGCTGATGGTTGTAGACGGTTCACAACTTAATCATACATTTTAGATACATTGTGTACACTCTTTTCTCTCTGTGTGTGCCCGTGTGTGTTACATTTCACAATCAAAATCAGGTGTCCAGGTGGCTCACTTTCTTACCCTGTCAACTGTTCGGTTCTATCTTTCTTCTCAGTCATCTGGGCAATCAGGGAAGGAATCAGCTGGACTAGACAGGAATGGAGACTAGAAAGAAGTGAGGGGAATAGGATCTACCCTACCTCAGCAGGCTTCTGTCTTCTGCTGGAATGAATCTTGCTAAAACTGACTAATGCAGGTGTAGATGAAAGATGGGAGAGTTTAGCAAACAGGTGGATTCTCGCCCTATCATCAGTATTCTGGAGTAAATGCAGAAGAGACTCCAAAACTGTGGACCTTCTGGACACCAGCCTGCAGTTACCTACCTAGCTGGAACATACAGACCATGACAGTTCTTTAAGCTCCGGGAAACAGAACTCCTCTTGGGAGAACCCTAGTGTAAATTCCCTGTAATTGTATCCTACGAGGTCTGAGCATGTGCATTTTTCCTAATAAATGAATGAGTCAACAGCTTTCAACAGATTTCAGAAACTTACTTGACCCTTAAATAAGGTTAAAGGACACCTGGCTGGCTCAGTCAGAAGAACATGCAACTCTGAATCTCAGGGTCCTGAGTTCAAGTCCCACCCTGGGTGTAGAGATTACCAAAAATAAATAAGACTTATTTAAGATTACTTAATTACTTAAGATTACTTAAATTACTTAAAATAAAATAAAATAAAGGTAAGAACCATTGCAGAAGGGAACCAAAAATAAAAATCCAGGTCTTGAACTTGAGAATTCTATCCATTCGCAAGGGAGGTTTTGCTTAGTTGATCCTTGAACAACAGAGGTTTGAACTGCACAGGACCACCTACCTATAAGTGGATTTTTTCCTCGTAAGTACAGTACTGTACTGTAAATGTGTTATCTCTTCTTTATGATTTTCCTAATAACATTTTCTTTTCTCTACCTTACTTTATTGTAAGAATGCAGTATATACTACATAAATCACACAAAATACGTGTCCATAGACATTCACGTTGCCCGTAGGTAAGGCTTCCAATCAGGAGTAGGCTGGTCGCAGTTAGGTTTCTGAGAAATCAAAAGTTACTGGAGGATTTTTGATTCCACGCGGCTGGAAACCCTTAACACTCATGTTGTTCAAGGATCAACTGTATATAACAGTGGTTCTTAACTAAGGGCTATTTTACCCCTCAGGGAACATTTGGCAATGTCTGGAGACATTTTTGTTGTCACGCCTGGGGGTATGCTACTGAGATCTAGTGGATGGAGGCCAGGGATGCTATTAAACATCCTATGATAGGGTTTGCTGTCCCTCTTAGGTTCTGTATGATATTCAAAATATACATCTATTAATAACTTGCCACACATACTAAACATGTACTAAAAATCTCTCTCCATATATATGTATATACGTGTGTATATACAGAGAGAGAGAGTGCGCAGGCATTTTCTGTAAGTAACATATTATTGGATGTGTAACTCAACTACACTGACACAGAGGCAAGTATTTATCTTCAAGTAGATTCTGACTGTTTCCATTCTATACACCCTCACACATAGCTTTAAGCACCAGGTAAAACACTGTCTTCTGCATGAACATTCCTTGATGCTTTCAGTCAGAATTAATCCAGTCCCTTTTCTGAATTCTCTTGGCCCCTTATCTGATTTTCTCTTAAGATGCCTTTCACTATCTACCTTAGTATAGTATCATAATTCTGTTTTCATACAAGTCTTATCTCCCTCACTAGACCAAAACTTTTTTTTTTTTTCAGGCCAAAACTTCTTGAAGGCAAGCACTATGCCTCCCTCAACCATTATTACCTTTTATAATGTTTTCTAAACAGATATACTTAGAACCCAAACACATTTCTTTTATTTATTTATTTTTTTTAATGTTTATTTATTTTGAGGGAGAGAGAGAGAGAGAGTGTGAGCAGGGAAGGGGCAGAGAGCAAGGGAGACACAGAATCCGAAGAAGGCTCCAGGCTCTGAGCTGTCAGCACAGAGCTGGATGCGGGCTTGAACCCATGAACTGTGAGATCATGAGCTGAACCAAAGTCAGATGCTTAACCCACTGAAACACTCTGGCGTCCCTGGTCTACAACTTCTTTAAAGACTTAAGTCTATGTCACCAATATCTTCTAGGGTGCCTAGAATTTCAAAGCATCAACTCATATCATTGTTTCCACAGTAACTCACCTAGATGACTCACAATTCTTAATTGAATTAATTTGGAGATTTTACACAAATATAAATATAGCCCATATCGCATCCCAGAACTTCTGCTCCCAGTTACTTGCTATTTTGAACACTTTTAGTCTGGGACAGTCAGCTCTGTGGACCACTTGCATCAGAGCTTAGTGGTGGTTTTGGCAGTGGTGGTAGTGATTCAAAGGAACAACAAAGTGGGGTAGAGGTTTCAGAAGGACAGAGGAGAAAATAGACTATCAAGTAACACTAGAAGACAAGAGTTTAGTAACCTTCTTTAGAGAAGAGATTTATTCTCTGAACTGCATCTTTCTATGTAAGAATTTGGTTTAATAATCACACAGGGGCGCCTGGGTGGCTCAGTAGGTTAAGCGTCTGACTCTTGATTTGGGCTCAGGTCATGATGCCGGGGTCATGAGATCAAGAGCCCCGTGTCAGGCTCTGCACTGGGTGTGGAGCCTGCTTAAGATTGTCTCTGTCCCTCTACACCACCCTCCCCCTATAAATAAATAAAAAACAAAACAAAAATTATTAAATAAAAAACAAAACAAAAATAAATTAAACATAATCATCACACCATAATAAGTGTTGCATATACCTGGGTAAAGATGTTACTTTCTTCTGTTAAATCCCTTTTCTAAGGAAGAAACAAATGGTACATGGACAGAATAGCCTCTCCTTTACAGATTTCTATAAAAGTAGAGAATTGCATTTCTCATAGGTCTGAATTTGGCTGTCTTTTAAAAACAGAGAAGAGTAGGATGTGATAACAGCTTGCTCTCCCTGTCCAATTTACTTGTTACATTAAGCACCTCAAATTACTCATGTAGGCTTTACAAATCAAGTTTCACCTGGTTCACATAGAGGTGGGTGGTTCTTATTTATCAGAATTTAATCATTTCTAGAACTTCTTTCCAAAGAGATAATGTGTCACTTCAAAATAAATGTCAATGTTATTGTTACTTTCCAGCACTTATTTAGCTGTTAATGCTGATTTAAAACGCATTTCAGGGTGCCTGGGTGGCTCAGTCGGTCGAGCGGCCGACTGCGGCTCAGGTCACGATCTTGCAGTTCATGAGTTCGAACCCTGCGTTGGGCTCTGTGCTGTCAGCTCATAGCCTGGAGCCTGCTTCAGATTCCTCTCTCTGCCCCTCCCCTGCTCACTCTCTCTCTCTCTCTCACTCTCTCTCTCTCTCTCTCAAAACTAAATAAACATCAAAAAAAATTTAATGCATTTCTTATTTATCATTTAGGCATTTGGAGTGTAAGACAAACCCCATTATTGAATCTACACATGCATTCATTCAAGGATTTATTCAGCATTTATTAGTGCGGGCCATGGCCATAATGATAAAGAAGCATGGACACGGGTCTCCTATCTGTGGCATGCAGCAGATATCATATGGTCACAAAATGTATA